CCTGCTCTAGGGCCTAGCAGACTCGATTTCTTCATTTTGAAGATGGAGTCTCTCACCTAGCAGAAACCAGATCCCAGTGCCCAGCTGGAAGGATGCTCAGTCCTCCAAGTCTCTAAATTGGTTGTTCTGTCCGTGCTGGGTTGCACTGAATATGTATTGACTGAGTTTATTCTGGATGACATACAAGGCCTCAAAAGAAAAATCGGGGTGCTGGAGAAATGGCTCAACAGTTAAGAGCACATGTTGCTCTTGTAGAAGACCTGAGTCTTGTTCTCAGGTTCTCAGTACCCATGCCAGGGGGTTCACAACCTTCTGTAACTCCAGCTTCAAGGGATCACATGACATGCCCTTTCTGGCCTTCACAGACTCCTATACACCTCTCTTTCTTCCTCTCTCTTCCTCCCTCCTTCTTTCTCTCTCTTCCTCCTTCTCCCCCCCAAAGAATGGGGAGGAGAGAGAGAGAGAGAGTTAGAGAGAGAATGAGAATGAGAGAATTTGGGGGGGGGTGTTGGTCATTATAAAGGGCCAAACACAAGTTAAGGACCAATGACATCAATAACCAGAGCAGAAGGAGTTATGGGAAATATATAATTCTCTGACTGTAAACAAATGCTTTCTCAGAATATACCCAGTCTAGGAACTTAAAAAGTAAGATGGATGGATTTGTGCACAGAGGAAAAGATGGGGGCACCTTTAAGGATAACTTACGTGGATGTTACAGGAAGAGAAAGCCCAGTGCAGGCAAACATTAAAAAGGGACTGTAGACAGCAAGGATCCAGCTCATGAGGTTGCGAAGGGGACAAGTTTCCATCAAGACTGACCTGGAGATCCATGTTACCTTCTCGAAAAGCCTCTGACTATGTTCAGAGGGAAGAAGTAATTTGTTTGGTGGAGGAAATTTCAAGTCAGTATCACACTGAGGTTGGGCACGTTTGTGACTCACTTTCATAGCCAGAGTTACAGTGAAAGCAGAAAGCAGAATGTAGAGATGAGGAAAATACGCTGTTTGGCAAAGACAGGAGTGTGAGCACAAGTACCTGCAGAAAGATAGATAAAGGATGCAGTCCTTAAAAAATGCATGTGTGTTTATGTGTGTCTATGTATGTGTGTGCATGAGTGTGTGTATGTATGTTTTTATATGTGTGTTGTGTTTGTGTTGAGTGTGTCCATGCATGTTTGTGTTTCTCTTTGTGTGTGCACATGCCATGGTGTACATATGGAGGTAGGAGGGCAACTTTGGGGAATAATTTGATTGTTTTCCTTCTACCACATGTGTCCTGGTGCCCAAGTTCAGTTCCTGGATTTTCAACACACAGGTTTTCACCATCACACTTCATGCATGGTGCCTTTGCCTGCTGAGTTATTCCTGCATTATTTTTCTTTACTGTTTGAGGATTTCACACATACATATACTGTTTGATAAAATTCATCCCATACCTCCTCTTCTATCCCCACCACATTTTCTTCCTAACTTTATGTGTCACCGAGTGAGCATGCGCCCACGCTCTCTGTTCTCGACTGTGGATGTGACTAGCTGCCTCAAGTTCCTGCTTTCCCTGATCACAGCGACAGACTGCAACCTCAAACTGCAGGCTGAATAAAGCTGCTACCGCTTCTGTTTTAACACAGCAACAGAAATGAAACTAAGACACTTGCAACGGTGGATTGTACACTTGAGCTATGAGACAAAATCGAAGTTTTCATTCACTATTCATTGCTACTATCAGAGTAGCAAAATTATCCCAGGCCCAAATGGTCTCTAAAATAAAAATCTCTATGACTTATCTCCCTTACTTTGTAGGGAGGTTGGTTTGGTCACATAAAGCAGAAAGTCTGTGGAGGATTAAACTGTTTTCCTCAGGGCTAAGGCAGAGTTGTCCTCTTGGTGCTCCAGGTTCCATTGCCTTCACTCCCAGTTCTGTGTCCCGAGTGCAGAGCTTTTCATCAGTTGTCCAGTGTCCATGACCGAAGCCCAGGTCCATGCATCTCTCTGTGTATGAGGCACAGATTCACTGCCTCCTCTGTCCACCTCCCTTTGGTTTCCATGGCAGCAGTGCCATTCTCGGGAATCTGCTGCTCCTCAAGTCTTGCCCAGCACCATACGCTGTGGTGGCATAGGTCAGTTTGGATTCTGCACCGCCTGTAGCTGTGCTGAAAAGATCCTCTCCTGACCAGTCCAACCCAGCTGAGCTCCCTCGTGTAGCCACAGCTAGAGCTTATATAGATAAGAACAGTCTCTAACCATCAAGGATATGCCTTAGGACATGTCGGCTACCAAATTCCACCTGAGAACTCACTGCCCAGCCAGCACCTGGCACAGACTCTTGGGGTGTCAACTAAGGAGGTCTTTGATTGTGTATCTTCTCTTTCCATGGATGCTAATCCTTATATTTCAGAAACATCTTCCTGGGCCCAGATATCCCTCTACAGGGATGCGTCAGGCCATGGAGTCTGTCTGTGTCTCCTGTTCTCCATGTGAAGACAGAATCCAGCTGTGGTAGGACACAAACTCACGCAGCACCAAGACACTGGGCAGCCTATAGGAAGGGTGTTATCACTGAGCTAGTGGGAGAGGATTACCATGGACCATCTTCTCCACAGCATGAGCTCCGTCTACAATCTGCCTTTGAACCCGAGCATATGCTCAGCTGATCCTGGTGTAAATATCTGCTCTGTGCCTACTGCCTTGACCTCCATCCTGACAGCTATGGTCTGAAACTGACCCCGAAAGTGTCTCATCCACATCTCACCCTTCCCTAACTAGCAGACATTTGGAGGATATTTGGAATATAGCTGAGCACTGGATGGGTGAGATGTTGGGATATCAGCATGGAGGACATTGTATGTAGAAAAGATATGAACTTTTAGGGGCCATTGGGCAAGCTATCATGGGCTAGATTCTGTCCTCAACAGATTTACCAGTTGATATATAGGTCCCTAGGACTTAGACTGTGCCTATGTTTGCAGACAGGATCTTTTCTTTTTCTTTTCTCGAGACAGGGTGTCTCTGTATAGCTGCTCTGGCTGTCCTGGAACTTGCTTTGTAGACCAGGCTGGCCTCAAACTCAAAGAGATCTGCCTGCCTCTGCCTCATGAGTGCTGGGATCAAAGGCGTGCACCACCATTGCCTGGCACAGACAGGTTCTTAAACAGGGAAGTTATAGTGCGGGTTAGGGTGTGCCTCCTCCAGCCTGACTGTGCACTTATGAGGAGAGATGGGGACACACACACACACAAACGCACACACACGGATGGCCTGTGAGAACACGGAGGAGAAGCCAAGCAGAGCCCTGCTGAGAACCCACCCTGTCAACACCTGGTCTGGGGCTTCTACTAGGACTTGAGACAATAAACATCAGGTATGGAGGCAGCTGAATGAATCCCTGTCCTTTGCTGAATCCATAGCAGCTCAATGTCACTGAAGGCCACATGCTTCTCAGTTTGTGTGTCTGGTTTGGAGGCTTTGCCTGGCCAGCTTGGAGGACACCCTGGGCTTCAGGGTAGCCTCAGGCTGGGAAGAAGCTACTTGTAGTGAGGAAAGGCGGAGGGCCTCGTGGTTTGAGGTGGCAGAGCTAAGCCCAGCAGTGAAGGGCCCACTAGGGAAGCCTGGGAGAACACATGACCAGGAGAGAGGTACAGGGGCCTGCATGGTTCACTGGGCTGCCTAATTGTACCTTGTTCCTGAATGTCAGGGCTGGTCCACATAGGAAGAACACAGTGCTTGTAGAATTTCTAAAGAATGTTTTATTGTCAAAAAACAAAAACAAAACCGAACAAACAAAATCAAACTAGAGAGAGATCTTAGATGTATCAAGGATCTCCAGGAAATCAGATGAAGCCAAAGCCCCAAGCCCTCTGAGAACTTCCTCCCAGTCATGGAATGGCAGGTACCCACTGTGTCTTCATTGGCTGAGAAATGATGGAGAAGCAGGCATTGGGCCTCCGTAGATCTACTCCACACATCAGTAGATAGTGCTTCAGGCCATGACAATTCCTTGGGCTTCTCCTCCAACTCTTATTAACTGCTGTAAGTGTCCTGAGCAGGTACCAGGCCTGGAGTATGAGCCTGCTGTACCATTAATCTTTTCCGTGTCCCTTGACTACGATTGCTCTTTGCCTTCTTTCTTCTGGACTGATTGGAACCTGCTCATCAGGCCCCTCTCCAGGAGGCCCTTGCTGGTCACCCAGCCCCTGAACAGTGTCCTCTGTGCCTGTTCCTGCCACAGCCACATAGAAGCCATGAAGTCCAGGCCCTCTTCTGCTAGGTGTCCAGAGTGTAGTTGAGATATTCAGAGAGGGGGCAGTGTCTGGGTCTCAAGGCTGTGGGGTCAGGGTATGAGAATCCAGTATGTTGAACCAGTGTCCAGAAGAGGGATCCACACAAGGAACCCAATCTTTGGAAGGCTCTCAGGTTCCAAGACCCTGAGAAACACAGGCCTTTTCCTTATCCCAGCGTTCATGGAATAGGTCAAAAGGAGCCTGGCTGGACATAGGCAATGCAAAGGCCACTGGAATAACTCCAGTGAGCTTCATCTGGGTCATGGTCGCCTTGGTCCTCCTGGCTTGGTTGAAAGATGTCTACTCTTGGGGATTTGAAAACTGCCTCTTCTGTCAGGAATCCCTGTGTTTTAGAGGATAATTTGAACATGGCTGGCTCCAAGGTTGGTCCCTTTCCAGTTGGACACAGACAATGTGGGCACTTGTCTCTTCTTCTGTGCCAACTGTCTGGATACACTGTTGAGGAAACTATGGCCCTTCTGGCCCCATCCAGTATCTTGGCTGCTGCTGTGATGGTGTTTTAGGTCCTGTTGGCTGTTTCCTGGGACAGAATATACTCTTCACATGGTCCTCCAACGAGGGAAGAACTGAGGGTGGCTGGGTCTCAGGGTTAGAGGATAGTGAAGCATGTGTGGGCAGTGTGATCTGAGTTAGGCTGATTGACATGGTGGACAGGATCCTTCTGGGCCCAGGAAACCCTCTGCCCATTATAGGAGATGGCCTAAGGCCCTTGTCCGATCATGTTCTTGTAGTCAGGAGCCAGTGTCTGCTTCAGTCCCATCACTGAGGAGAAGATCCACTTTACCTGTGGGGCAGGATGGGGAAGACAAAGGTCAGGCCTGCACTCTATCCTGTGGGTAAACCAAGGACTATCTCACCTAAAGTCCCCTCTATACAGGTAGGTGAGTACCCACTGCTGGAGCTCCTCTCAAACCATGTTGGAGTCTGGAGGACAGCATGGGGACCAGAGGGGATAGAAGGGGGTGTATGTCGGGGATACAGTGTGGGAATAGTATGGAATAGAGTTTTGGACAGCATGGGGCCAGGCTGAGGATACAACATGGGTCAGTGTGCAGACAATGTAGACACTGAGTAGGGAGGATGGTGAGAGAGTGGGAGTGGGGTGTGGCAGAAGGACAGGATGAGCGATGAGGTGAGGATAGCGTGGAACAACAGGTACGTGATACATTATAGGTGAGTGTAGGGACAGCACAAGATACAGCAGCGTGGGACACCATGGGGAATAGCACAAGGCAGTGTGGGAGCAACACAAGAATTAAGAGGGTCATTGTAGCACTGGTGTAGGGACAGGGCTGGGGACAGCACGGGAACATTATGGGGCAGCAGGGTTCAGTGTGCGGACAGTTTTGGGAGATAACGGGGTTAGTATGAGACAGTAGGGTAGCATGAACGTACAGACATCGACATGGAAAAGCACAGTGGCTAGCAAGGGACAATGTGGGGCAGCATGAGGACAGTATAGGACAGAACCGAGATAGTTTGGTGCATCGTGGAGATGGCACTGGACATTGTGGAGTCTGTGTCAAAACAGCAGGGTAGACAGCATTGCAAGCATGTAACAAGTGACAAATAGCATGGGACAGCGTGGGGCCTAGGACATCACAGGGATAGTGTGGGGGACCGTGTCATGGAAGCAGTGTGTCAACATGGGGCAGCAAGCAAAGCCATGGGGCACTGGGGGGACAGAGTAGAGACAGCAAGAGGACAAGCTGGGAACATGTAGAGGTGACATGGGACAGTATGGGGACAGCATGGTGACGGATTGGAAGCAGTGTGAGGACAGTATGGACACTGTGGGGACGGAAGGTGTGGCTGACCTTGAAGAGTGTGACCGTGGCACTGTAGCACACGCTGAGCAGGAAGAGGGTGATGAAGATGGTGATGGTCGTCCAGAGCCCGTCCAGCTCCCCGTCCAGGGCCTCAGCACAGTTGTCGTCCAGTTCCAGCTCTGGACAGAGAGGGGCAGTCAGTGTTCGTCCCAACAGGATGTAACTGGGAGGGATTCCCTATGTGGCAAGTGGATCTGCATGGAGGCAGAGGAGAAAGGGCCAGCTGGGCTGGGCCAGCAGACCCTTCCTGGGGCCAGCTTTATTTCTGCTCTCTTTGGACCAGAAACCTCAGTTCCCAAAAGTGTTCCACTTTTGTTTCTGGGCTCAGGCAGACACACTAGACCTGATGGCCTCGACTGTGTAGGAGACCATTCTGTTTGCTCAACTCCTTAGTTCTGGGACTGGCTAGGCTAGTCAGAGCCTGCGACTCTTGTGGGTAGTGACTGTGTAGCTTGCCTGGTCTTTTGCTTGTCCTCTGGAGTGATGGCAGAGTCTGTGCCTGGTGCTGCCTGGACTTCAGACAAAGTCCACACTGGGAAGTGAACTGTGTTATACAGCTTTGGAATAGTTGCGTGAGGTAGGCCTGAGGTCCAGGGACAGACTGGGCTTGAGAGGATTTTTGTGTGTAAGAGGAGGGTGTGGGCATCTTCGGCAGAGAAATGTTGTATCTGTCTCAGTCGACCCTCTTGTGTATGCTGAGGAGGGCCATGTGAAAAGACCTGATGCCCTTTGAACTTTGAGTATTGTGCGAGATGCCCACATGAGGGCCCAGTTGTGTGTGCATGTGTGTGTGTGTGTGTGTGTGTGTACATATGGGCCTTGTGGGCTGGGTGTTGCCAGCAGATTGGTTCTAATAGGTCTGGATTCATGTGAACATCTGACAGTCTCTCTCATGGGCAGCGAGAGATACCTTCGTTCTCAACATATGGCAAGACCTAGCCCCTGCAAAGCTTCCTGGATCGAGCAGAGGTACAACCGGGTCTGTCTGAATGCCTATGACCACATATATTTTTTCAGTGCACTCAGAGATATCCTTGGACAGGGAGGGAGGCAAGGACAGACTGAGGAGATGGGGTTTGTGTGTCCCTTTCTTCGTGGGTGTCTTAGGTGCATCTCTGGGCCCAGAACAGATGAACTGCTAGTTAGAGGGAGGGCAAGTGAGAGACCCTGCCTAAGGATAAGCCTTTCCAGTGAGGAATAGGTTCTTTTCAGGCCAGGCAAATTCAAGAGTGCTGAGTCTGGCAGTACAGGCTCACATTTTTTCTCCCTAGTGTTAATTCAAGACCTTAAACCCTGGAGTTGCCACAGCCCATGACGTAGGAATATTCTATGTGTCAGAAAGAACCAGAACATTTTTGCAGGGTCCCAGGGCAGTGCTGGGTGCTTTATTTACACAGTGAAGGGGTGGAGGTGGGTATCAGCATCCCTTAGGACCAGAGGGCTCACAAGACACTGGGCTCATTTACCAGGAGTGTAGGAGAGATTCTTCTCTGTGTGGTGGTTGTGCAGGGCCTCGTGTACCACAGAGCAGACGAAAGTATCTCCACTCTCCCAATCACTCTTTTTCACATCGAACTTGCTGTAGAGGAAGAAAGACTCATTTGTGTCCAAGACGGGTGGGGTGTTCTTGTAGTTCTTCTCTGGTTGTCCATTCCTCTTCCATTCTACATCAATGTCTGCAGGGTAGAAACCCGTTATCATGCAGGTGAGACTGACTTCATTCTTGGTCAGCTGCTCCTTGGGTGGGGGCATGGTGTATACCTGTGGAACGCGAAGTTGCCCTGTGGGTACAGAGAATAAATAGTCAGCACAGAGGTCACTGACAGGGTAGAAGTCTGTTCATGTATTGCTGCTACTACATCATCCACTTTGCAATTCTCACCCATAGTTTTGGAGATGGTTTTTTCGATGGGGGCAGGGAAGTCTTCCCTGTTGACCCTGCATTTGAACTCCTTGCCATTTAGCCAGTCCTGGTGTAAGATGGGGAGGACACTGACTTCTCGGAAGGTGCTGTTGAACTGTGGCTCCCGGGGCTGTTTCTGAACATCGTGCACTTCCTTGCCATCTACAAACCAGCTGAACTGGACCGCGGGATCATCCTGACTAATGTCCACCACAACACATGTGATCTTGGGTTCCAGAGAGATCGTGAGTACATCCTTGAGCTTTGGTGGGAAGATGAAGACAGATGATATTTCTGGGCCTGTAGATGAAGAAGAAAGACGGAAATAGGCCAATACCTGGACCATTCTTGAATGTGGACACTACTTAGGTCACTTGTATACAGGGCTGGAGTAAATGGCCTGTAGACTTACCTGGACATGTGCAAGGCTTGCAAGGGTCTGACCCATGCCCTGCAGAGAGAAGACTGAGTGTTACTGGAGTTTGGAGATGAGAAGGCACCAAGATGCAAAAAAGGGAACACAGACAGGATCTCCTGCTACCCTGAGCTGATGTTCGCTCCCTGGTGATGGCTGCCCAACCTGATTGGTCTAGGTAGGCAAATGTCTTAAGCCTGAACCACTCTTCCCCTGCTCGTTCTCTCACCAATTTTCTTGTCCACCTTGGTGCTGCTGGCCGGGTGGGCGACATTGCAGGTGATGGCCTGGCTGGGCCACATGCTGGAGGGCACAGTCACTGAGCTGCTGAGGGAGTAGAGCCCAGAATCCAGGACTGATGGGAAGATGTGCACGCCGCTGGTCAGGCTTCCAGAGTTCCAGGTTACGGTCGCCGGCTCAGGGAAATAGCCCTTGACCAGGCATCCCAGGGTCACTGTGGAGCCAGTTGGGCCTCCACATGCAGGAGTCAGTGGATAGACAGATGGGGCTGTTGTTGTGGCTGCAAGAAAAGGGGTCTATGTAGTCATGCTGTCAGACATGGCTGACCCAAGCCTCTAGAAGGCCTCTTCTTTCACCCCTCCCAAGGCTCTGGTTCTCTATATGGTATAGGCAATATCCAAGAATTGGCTTGGTGAATGTCAGGATCACCAGGTTAGGTCAGGCCTGAGGTACTTTGAGCACAGACCCATTCCTAATACACTTTCAGAAAACTGCCATACCAGCTGTCTACTGTAGGTCCCCACTCTTTGGTCTCTTATGCCTAGGCCATATGGCTTCACACAATCAGGGCAATATTGAATGACAAACTGAAGCCAGCACAGTCTTGCAGTCTGTAACCCCTTCTTGGTATTGCCTATCCAACCATGTTGGCTCTTGCCAACTCCTAGGCTGCTTGCTCCTGCCTTGGTGGGTTGGTGGTTGACTGATGGCCCATGTTCCTAGGTTCCCTGAACTCTCCACAGTCCCAGAGCTCTGGCCATAGCTTTGCTGTGAAGATGGTGTCTTCTCTAGTTGACTTTGAACTAAGTAGGGTTAGCACTCTCTCTCTACTCCTGGGTCTGGACCCGCATCTTGCCCATCCACAACCTTCTCTACCTATTCCCTCTCAAGTCAGTCTAGGCTCCTAAATGTGTACTCTTGGCCACTTCTTTGTACCATATCCTCTCCTCTTGCCTTCCTTTCAGCTCTTACAGTTCACCACCAACATTCCCACCTTATAGGTTCTCAGTGCGGGCAGCTCTGTCCTGTCCTGTCCTGACTGGCCAGCACCTTGCTACCTCCCTGCCATGTAGTCATACTGATGAGACCCTGGTGAGCTCAGTCTTGTTCTTCACACTGTCCTGGGTTTTCCCTTTGCATGGTACTTGTGTTGCCAGATCCTAGAGAAGTCCCTTTCCTTTTTCAGCATCCTTCAGCCTTTGAAGTTGGAAAACATCCCCATTCTTCATGAAGCTGGCCAGAACCACTGTCCTCTCTATCCTTGGTTCCTCCTGTTATCTCCAGAGCTTTGCTGGTCTCTCCTACATCTTAGCTCTGACATCCCCTTTCCAGGTTCTAGACGTCACCCTCTCTTTCTTCTGTAAGTTGACCCTGGGTATGTATGTTGTTGGCACAGGTTTGGTTTTCCTGCTTCCATAACCCCCTAGGATCATAGCTAGCATCCCTGACTCGAGAGCTGCAGTCCATACAGATCCTTTGGTAATGCCAGCCCTAGGACCCTTGCCTATCTGGGTTCTTGCTTGGCCAGAGGCCCTTTCTGACTCCTCCACCCCCAGGACTGGTTATCTCTAAGCCTTTAGTTGTTCTTGCTGCTTTCATCAGTGCAGCTCTTTCTGCACGCAGTGCTCCTTTAGTTTTCTCTGTCCTGAGTATCTCAGGTGGCCCTGTTAGACCTGATCCACTTTCCTGTCTGCCTCTTGCCCTCTATGCTCTTGGGACTGCCTGCTGCCTATCCAGCCTTCCCCTAGCCCCAATATCGCCTGCACTGGGCTTGCTTCCTGAGCCCCTAGGGGTACCTCTCTCTCCCAAGGAGTTTCCTGTTCTGCCCTCTTCTCTCCCTTATGATCTCCTGGACTCTGTGGGCCTTGCAGGCTTCTACTGATTCCAGTTCCAGAATTTTCTTGCTCTACTAGGCCCTCTTTGTTCTGTTGGATCAACCTCCCTGATTTCACCTGCCAACATACCTTCAGGCCTGTCCCCATCACAGCAGACAGTTGGATCAGCTCCAGCCTTCACCTCTGGGCTTTTTACCCTTCCTAGTTTCTCCTTTTCTCACTCTCAGTGTGAAGTAAGGATAGTTGAGCCCTCCCCTCTGTCATTGGTCTTCTACCTTGCCTACCTTTTCTTTTTCTTTTGTTAAATTTTTATTCATTTTACATGCAAAACACATTTTCCCCTCCCTCCGCTCCTTTCTCTCTCCCCACTTCCCTTCACCTCTCCCCAAGCCACCCCCTATCCTCTCCTCAGAAAGGGTAATGCCTCCCATGGGGAGTTAACAAAGCATGGGACAGTCAGTTGAGGCAGAACCAAGACACTCTCCCCTGCATCGAGGCTGAGTAAGGCATTCCACCAAATGGAATGGGGTCCAAAAAGGCAGCTCATGCACCAAGGTTGATCCTGGTCCCACTGCCAGGGGTCCCACAAACAGTCCATTGCCTACCATTTCGACGCAGCCTCAAACCCTGCCCTTGGTACCCAGCAGAGTGATTTTTACGGGCAGTTAATATAGCTTCTGGCAGTATACAGGCCCTGCTAGGGTGGTCTGGGAGGCTCCTCAGTCTGCTCCCCCACATTCTCACCTGCCTGGTTTCCCTTTGTTTAACAGCTGGAATATCTTATACTCTCACCTACCTCAGCTCCCCAGTACCTGCTCAGCCCATGCCTCCACCCTCACCTACCTCAGCCCCCCAGTACCTGCTCAGCCCATGCTCCCACCCTCACCTACCTCAGCCCCCCAGTACCTGCTCAGCCCATGCTCCCACCCTCACCCACCTCAGCCCCCCAGTACCTGCTCAGCCCATGCCCCCACACCCTCACCCGCCTCAGCCCCCCAGTACCTGCTCAGCCCATGCCCCCACACCCTCACCTGCCTTAGCTCTGCTGTAGTCTGTTTTCCTACTTGCTATGCTTACAGGCTTCTTTAATCTTCCAGAACTCCTCTCCTGTAACTGCCCAGACTGTTTTCCCATATTCTTATCTGTCTGTAGTTACTCATCCTGGGACCCGACACTCCCACCTATCTCATGCCCTGTGGCTGCTCAGCCTGACTTCCCACATTTTCACCTACTCCAGGTCCTCTTTAGCTGCTCAGCCTGGTCTCCTATATCCCTGTTAACTCCAGCTTCCATGTGGTATTGTTGTATCCAGCTCAGCCTGGATACAACAATACCACTGACCTCAGCTCCCCTGTAGCTGCTCTGCCTGGTGTGCTGAACAACCTCCTGCCTCAGCTCCCCTGTGAGCTGCCCTGTTGGCTCCCTGCACATCCTCCAGCCTCAGCTCCTCTGTAGCTGCCCTGATGGCTCGCTGCACATCCTCCTGCGCCAGCTCCCCTGTAGCTGTGTTTGCCCGGATCCCTGCACATTCTCCTGCCTCATCTCCCCAGTAGCTGCTCTGCCTGAACCGCTGCACACCTCCGGCCTCAGTTAGCTGTAACTGCCCTGCTGGCTCCCTGCACATCCTCCTGCCTCAGCTCCCCTGTTGCTGCTCTGCCTGGATTCCTGCACATCCTCCTGCCTCAGCTCCACTGTAGCTGCTCCTTCTGGCTCCCTGCACATCCTCCTGCCTCAGCTTCCCGGTAGCTGCCCTGCCTGGATACCTGCACATCCTCCTGCCCCAGCTCCCCTGCAGCTGCCCTGCTGGCTCCCTGCACATCCTCCTGCCTCAGCTTAGCTGTAGCTGCTCCTTCTGGCTCCCTGCACATCCTCCTGCCTCAGCTCCCCTGTTGCTGCTCTGCCTGGATTCCTGCACATCCTCCTGCCTCAGCTCCCCTGTAGCTGCTCTTTCTGGCTTCCTGCACATCCTCCTGCTCAGCTGCCCTGTAGCTGCTGTGCCTGGAACCCTGCACACCTCCGGCCTCAGCTTAGCTGTAACTGCCCTGGTGGCTCCCTGAATATCCTCCTGCCTCAGCTCGCCTGTTGCTGCTCTGCCTGGATTCCTGCACATCCTCCTGCCTCAGCTCCACTGTAGCTGCTTTGCTGGCTCCCTGCACATCCTCCTGCCTCAGCTTAGCTGTAGCTGCCATGCCTGGATCCTTGCACATCCTCCTGCCCCAGCTCCCCTGTAGCTGCCCTGCTGGCACCCTGCACATCCTCCTGCCTCAGCTTAGCTGTAACTGACCTGCTGGCTCCCTGAATATCCTCCTGCCTCAGCTTTCCTGTTGCTGCTCTTTCTGGCTTCCTGCACATCCTCCTGCCTCAGCTCCCCTGTAGCTGCTCCTTCTGGCTCCCTGCACATTCTCCTGCCTCAGCTCCCCTGTAGCTGCTGTGCCTGGACCCCTGCACACCTCTGGCCTCAGCTTAGCTGTAACTGCCCTGCTGGCTCCCTGCACATCCTCCTGCCTCAGCTCCCCTGTTGCTGCCCTGCTGGCTCCCTGCACATTCTCCTGCCTCAGCTCCCCTGTAGCTGCTTTGCTGGCTCCCTGCACATCCTCCTGCCTCAGCTTAGCTGTAGCTGCTCTGCCTGGATCCCTGCACATCCTCCTGCCTCAGCTCCCCTGTAGCTGCTCCTTCTGGCTCCCTGCACATCCTCCTGCCCCAGCTCCCCTGTACCTGCTCCTTCTGGCTCCAGCACATCCTCCTGCCCCAGCTCCCCTGTAGCTCCTCCTTCTGGCTCCCTGCACATCCTCCTGCCCCAGCTCCCCTGTAGCTGCTCCTTCTGGCTCCCTGCACATCCTCCTGCCCCAGCTCCCCTGTAGCTGCTCCTTCTGGCTCCCTGCACATCCTCCTGCCCCAGCTCCCCTGTAGCTGCTCCTTCTGGCTCCCTGAACATCCTCCTGCCTCAGCTCCTCTGTAGCTGCTCCTTCTGGCTCTCTGCACATCCTCCTGCCTCAGCTCCCCTGTAGCTGCTCTTTCTGGCTTCCTGCATATCCTCCTGCCTCAGCTCCCCTGTAGCTGCTGTGCCTGGACCCCTGCACATCCTCCTGCCTCAGCTCCCCTGTAGCTGCTTTGCTGGCTCCCTGCACATCCTCCTGCCTCAGCTTAGCTGTAGCTGCCCTGCCTGGATCTCTGCACATCCTCCTGCCCCAGCTCCCCTGTAGCTGCCCTGCTGGCTCCCTGCACATCCTCCTGCCTCAGCTTAGCTGTAACTGCCCTGCTGGCTCCCTGAATATCCTCCTGTCTCAGCTCTCCTGTTGCTGCTCTGCCTGGATTCCTGCACATCCTCCTGCCTCAGCTCCACTGTAGCTGCTTTGCTGGCTCCCTGCACATCCTCCTGCCTCAGCTTAGCTGTAGCTGCCATGCCTGGATCCTTGCACATCCTCCTGCCCCAGCTCCCCTGTAGCTGCCCTGCTGGCACCCTGCACATCCTCCTGCCTCAGCTTAGCTGTAACTGACCTGCTGGCTCCCTGAATATCCTCCTGCCTCAGCTTTCCTGTTGCTGCTCTTTCTGGCTTCCTGCACATCCTCCTGCCTCAGCTCCCCTGTAGCTGCTCCTTCTGGCTCCCTGCACATTCTCCTGCCTCAGCTCCCCTGTAGCTGCTGTGCCTGGACCCCTGCACACCTCTGGCCTCAGCTTAGCTGTAACTGCCCTGCTGGCTCCCTGCACATCCTCCTGCCTCAGCTCCCCTGTTGCTGCCCTGCTGGCTCCCTGCACATTCTCCTGCTTCAGCTCCCCTGTAGCTGCTTTGCTGGCTCCCTGCACATCCTCCTGCCTCAGCTTAGCTGTAGCTGCTCTGCCTGGATCCCTGCACATCCTCCTGCCTCAGCTCCCCTGTAGCTGCTCCTTCTGGCTCCCTGCACATCCTCCTGCCCCAGCTCCCCTGTACCTGCTCCTTCTGGCTCCAGCACATCCTCCTGCCCCAGCTCCCCTGTAGCTCCTCCTTCTGGCTCCCTGCACATCCTCCTGCCCCAGCTCCCCTGTAGCTGCTCCTTCTGGCTCCCTGCACATCCTCCTGCCCCAGCTCCCCTGTAGCTGCTCCTTCTGGCTCCCTGCACATCCTCCTGCCCCAGCTCCCCTGTAGCTGCTCCTTCTGGCTCCCTGAACATCCTCCTGCCTCAGCTCCTCTGTAGCTGCTCCTTCTGGCTCTCTGCACATCCTCCTGCCTCAGCTCCCCTGTAGCTGCTCTTTCTGGCTTCCTGCATATCCTCCTGCCTCAGCTCCCCTGTAGCTGCTGTGCCTGGACCCCTGCACATCCTCCTGCCTCAGCTCCCCTGTAGCTGCTTTGCTGGCTCCCTGCACATCCTCCTGCCTCAGCTTAGCTGTAGCTGCCCTGCCTGGATCTCTGCACATCCTCCTGCCCCAGCTCCCCTGTAGCTGCCCTGCTGGCTCCCTGCACATCCTCCTGCCTCAGCTTAGCTGTAACTGCCCTGCTGGCTCCCTGAATATCCTCCTGTCTCAGCTCTCCTGTTGCTGCTCTGCCTGGATTCCTGCACATCCTCCTGCCTCAGCTCCCCTGTAGCTGCTCTTTCTGGCTTCCTGCACATCCTCCTGCTCAGCTGCCCTGTAGCTGCTGTGCCTGGAACCCTGCACACCTCCGGCCTCAGCTTAGCTGTAACTGCCCTGGTGGCTCCCTGAATATCCTCCTGCCTCAGCTCGCCTGTTGCTGCTCTGCCTGGATTCCTGCACATCCTCCTGCCTCAGCTCCACTGTAGCTGCTTTGCTGGCTCCCTGCACATCCTCCTGCCTCAGCTTAGCTGTAGCTGCCATGCCTGGATCCTTGCACATCCTCCTGCCCCAGCTCCCCTGTAGCTGCCCTGCTGGCACCCTGCACATCCTCCTGCCTCAGCTTAGCTGTAACTGCCCTGCTGGCTCCCTGAATATCCTCCTGCCTCAGCTTTCCTGTTGCTGCTCTTTCTGGCTTCCTGCACATCCTCCTGCCTCAGCTCCCCTGTAGCTGCTCCTTCTGGCTCCCTGAACATCCTCCTGCCTCAGCTCCCCTGTAGCTGCTCTTTCTGGCTCCCTGCACATCCTCCTGCCTCAGCTTCCCTGTAGCTGCTTTGCTGGCTCCCTGCACATCCTCCTGCCGCAGCTCCCCTGTAGCTGCTCCTTCTGGCTCCCTGCACATCCTCCTGCCTCAGCTTAGCTGTAGCTGCTCTGCCTGGCTCCCTCCACATCCTCCTGCCGCAGCTCTCCTGTAGCTGCTCCTTCTGGCTCCCTGCACATTCTCCTGCCTCAGCTTAACTGTAGCTGCTCTTTCTGGCTCCCTGAACATCCTCCTGCCCCAGCTCCCCTGTAGCTGCCCTGCTGGCTCCCTGCACATCCTCCTGCCTCAGCTCCCCTGTAGCTGCTCCTTCTGGCTCTCTGCACATCCTCTTGCCTCAGTTTCTCTGTAACTGCTCTGCCTGGATCCCTGAGCATCCTCCTGCCTCAGCTCCCCTGTAGCTGCTCCTTCTGGCTCCCTGCACATCCTTCTGCCTCAGCTTAGCTGTAGCTGCTCTTTCTGGCTCCCTGCACATCCTCCTGCCCCAGCTCCCCTGTAGCTGCCCTGCTGGTTCCCTGCACATCCTCCTGCCTCAGCTCTCCTGTAGCTGTTCTGCCTGGCTCCCTGCACATCCTCCTGCCCCAGCTCCCCTGTAGCTGCTCCTTCTGGCTTCCTGCACATCCTCCTGCCCCAGCTCCCCTGTAGCTGCTCCTTCTGGCTCCCTGCACATCCTCCTGCCCCAGCTCCCCTGTAGCTGCTCCTTCTGGCTCCCTGCACATCCTCCTGCCTCAGCTCCCCTGTAGCTGCTCTTTCTGGCTTCCTGCACATCCTCCTGCCTCAGCTCCCCTGTAGCTGCTCCTTCTGGATCTGTCTGCACATCCTCCTGCCTCAGCTCCCCTGTAGCTACTCAACCTGGTTTCCTAAGCTCTTGAGACTACCCTAGGCACCCAGCATTCCCACCTACTCCTGGGCCATCTTCATTTATTTTGTCTCAGTCCCAAATTCCTGTGGTTACCCAGCTAGCTCCAGTACGCCCAACATCTCTCAGCTTCCCTCTGATGCTCAGCCTGGTTCACCATCCTTTTCTTTTCCAGTTCCTCTGTAGCTGATAGGACTGATCTCCGAATCCTGGGACTTTCCTGTGCCTCCTCATAGCTCTGCCACGTGCCTCAGTTCCCCTTTGCCAATCAGCCTGATTCCCTAAGGTCCTGGGAGACGAACCGAGTTCCCAGTACTCCATTTGTCCTAATTTCCATGTGTACCTCAGTCCGGTCCACTGAGCTTCTTGGAATTCCCTGAACCCCAGCACTTCTATCAGTCTCCGTTGACATGTGCTGGCCAGCCTGTGTCCCCCATCTTTAACTACACCTGTCCCAATTCTTCTCTATCTGCTCAATTTGGTCCCCAATATGGCTGCCTGCCCCAGGTTAGCTTTATCTGCCCAGCTTGGCATCTTGTGCTCCTGGTGATGACCTGACCCCCTAACCCTCCTGTCTACCTAGCCCTGTGTAAGCTGTTCAGCCTTAGACCCCTAACATTCCCGTTTACCTTAGATCCTTTGTGCAGTTCAGCTTGGTGACCTATGCTTGCATACCCCTCA